GGAAGACAGCTACCTGGCCAATCGACTGGAAGAGATCTGTATCTGTGCCCATTCCAAAGAAAGGTGATCCAACAGAATGCAGAAATTATCAGACATTATCATTAATATCACACACAAGGAAAATTTTGCTGAAGATCATTCAAAAGCGGTTCCAGCAGTACATCAACAGGGAATTGTCAGAAATTCAAGGTGGATTCAGAAGAGAACGTGGAACCAGGGATATCATTGCTGATGTCAGATGGATCATGGCTGAAAGTAGAGAATACCAGAAAGATGCTTACCTGTGTTTTATGGACTATGCAAAGGCATTCAACTATGTAGATCATAACAAATTATGGATAACATTGAGAAGAATGGAGATTCTAGAACACTTAACTGTGCTCATGAGGAGCCTGTACATAGACCAAAATGCACTCATTCGAACAGAACAAGGGACTACTTCATGATTTAAAGTCAGGAAAGTTGTACATCAGGATTGTATCCTTTCACCATACTTATTCAATCTGTATGCTGAGCACATAATCCAAGAAGCTGGACTATATGAAGAAGAACATGGCATCAAGTTTGGAGGAAGATTCATTTAACAACCTGTGATATGCAGATGACACAGACTTGCTTGCTAAAAGTGAAGATGACTTGAAGCACTCACTGATGAAGATCAAAGACTACAGCCTCCAGTATGGATTACACCACAACATAAATAAAACAGAAATCCTCACAACTGGACTGGTAAGCAACATCATGATAAATGGAGAAAATATTGAAGTTGTCAAGGATTTAATTTTACTTGGATCCACAATCAATTCCCATGGAAGCAGCAGTCAAGAAATCAAACGATGTATTGCATTGGGCAAATCTGCTGCAAAAGACCTCTTTAAAGTGTTAAAAAGCAAAGATGTCACTTTGAGGACTAAGGTGTGCCTGCCCCAAGCCACGGTATATTCAGTCGCCTCATACGCATGGAAAAGCTGGACAATGACTAGGAAGACCGAAGAAGAATTGATGCCTTTGAATTATGGCATTGTTGAAGAATACTGACTACACCATTGACTGCCAGAAGAACCAACAAGTCTGTCTTGGAAGAAGTACAGCCAGAGTGCTCCTTGGAATCGAGGATGGCAAGACTTCATCTCACATACTTTGGACTTGTTATCAGGACGGACCATTCCCTGGGGAAGGACATCATGCTTGGTAAAACAGAGGGTCAGTGAAAAAGAGGAAGACCCTCAATGTCATGGATTAAATTTTGTCCCCCAAAAATATCTGTCAACTTGGCTAGGTCATGATTCCCAGTATTGTATGATTGTCCCTATGTGTTGTAAATGCTATCACTGTGATGTAATAAGATGGATTAACAGCAGTTATACTGATGAGGTCTACAAGGTTAGGTAGTGTCTTAAGCCAATCTCTTCTGAGATATAAAAGAGAGAAGCGAGCAGAGAGACATGGGGACCTCATACAACCAAGAAAGAAGCACCGGGAACAGAGCGCGTGCTTTGGACCTGAGGTTCCTACGCTGAGATGCTCCCAGACCAAGTAAAGATTGATGAGAAGGCCGACAGAGAGACAAACCCTTCCCCTGGAGCTGACACCCTGAATTTAGACTTGTAGCCTGTTGGACTGTGAGAAAATAAATTTCTCTTTGTTAAAGCCATCCATTTGTGGTATTCTGTTACAGCAGCACTAGGTGACTAAGACAGTCAATGAGATGGATTGCAACAGTGGGCTCAAACATAGCCAACAGTCATGCTTGGTAAAGTAAAGGGTCAGCAAACAGGAAGACCCTCAATGAGATGGATTGACATGGTGGCTGTAACAACGGGCTCAAACATAGCAATGATTGTGAGGATGATGCAGGACCGAGCAGTGTTTCATTCTGTTGTACACAGGGTCGCTATGAGTGGGAGCCAACTCGACAGCACCTAACGGCAACGTGTTTATATAATTATATTTATCATTATATGTCTTGTATGATAATTTTAGGTCAATAACCTCAGCAATGCACCTCATTTCTCTGAGCCTTGATTTCTTTAATTGTAAAATGAGTGATTAGAATTTTTTAAAAAACTTCATTGAAATACACATATATAAAGGTTCACAAATCATAGTTGTACAGCTAAATGAAATATCACAAAGTGAAACCACCCACATAACCACCACCACCGTCAAGAAATGGAATACTGCTTGTTCCCCAGAAGGCCCACTTGTACTCCCTCCCAAATTTTACTCCTTTCCTCCTCCCTGTTGTGAGTTGTAACACCAGAGAATAATTTTGCCTGTTTTGAACTTTTTGTAAATGAAATCATGAACTATGTATGTATTCTTTCACTATGTTTGTGAAATTTATCACTGTGGCTTGTTGCTGCATATTTTTCATTTGCATAGCATTCCACTGTGTGAATATACTTCAATTTTTACATCCATTCTGTTAATGGACATTTGGGTTGTTTGCAGTTTAAAGCTATCACCAAAAGTGCTGCTAAGACATGTCTTTAAATGCACATCTGGTGGCTATATAACTGGGAAATGAAACTGCTGGGTCATAGAATTTGTGGTATGTTCAACTTTAGTAGATATACCAAAGAGTTTTCCAAAATCATTTTACCAATTTACATTCTCACCAGCAGTGTCTGAGGATCCCCATTGCTCCATAATCCTTGCCAACAGTTGGCACTGTGAATACATTTTTAGCAGGAATTTCAGCACTGGGTTTGTAGTTCCTTAAGAAATGTTTAATGACCTATCACGTTGGCAAAATTCAAAAGCCTGAAAACATACTATTGGTGAGGCCATGGGAAAACAGGAACTCTTCACATATTGCTGTTGAGAGTGCACAATGATCCAGCCCCTTCAAAGACACACACCTCTCTTACCCACCCCCCCTCATTGTTCTTGTATCATTATTCGTTAAAACAAAAGATTGGAAATAAAAGCCTACCCCTGGGAGACTAGTTGATTAATTATGGAACATCCAGTACTATGCAGCTGTTAAAAAAAAGTGGAAGATTTCTTTGAGCCTGTTTAGAATGATTAGAATTATTTCCAGGTTATTCTGTTAGGTGATAAAGCAAGGTGCAAACGTGTATATAATATGATAACTTGTAGGCATAAACCAAACCAAACCGATTGTCACCAAGTGGATTCTGACTCATAGTGATCCTACAAGACAGAGTAGAACTGCCCCATAGGATTTCCAAGGAGTGGCTGGTGGATTCAAACTGCCAACCTTTTGGTTAGCAGCTGAGCTCTTAACCACTGCACCACCAGGGCTCCACTTGTAGGGATAGAAAAACTAATGAAAATGGGGCATGAGTACATATCTAGGGTAAAGGAGTTAGGCATGGGAGCAAAATGACTCTGAATGCACCATTTTATATAATTTTATTTTGAAGTAAATGTTTTGCGTGTTGAAGAAGGTAATAAAAAGGGATGAAAGGAAAGCAAACTCTGAAATTGAATACAAACAGACACAAATGTTCTTAACTGCATGTCAAATTTATAACATAACCTAACAAAAAAATTCGAATAAGGTATGTACACAGTACTCTGACTATACTCCCTTAAGAGGATATAATCCAAGAACAAATAAAACGGCAAAGAAATTTGAAACTTTACTCAGTAGGTGTGTTGTTGCTAGTGATACTGAAACTATTTTTCTCATAAAATACAGCAAATTAAATGAATATATTGATGTTGTTGGGGACAAGGGTTTCACTTTGGGAAAAAGGAAAAACAAATATGCAATGATGAAAATGAAGGATTCTGTAGATTTGTATTTGAATTAGAGGTATCCTATAAAATCTTGATTTAAAATACATATACACACACACAAGAGCCCTGGTGGCACAGTGGTTAAGTGCTCAGCTGCTAACTGAAAGATCTGAGGTTGGAACTCATCAGCACTCCAGAAAGATGTGGCAATCTCGTTGCGTAAAGATTACAGCTTGGAAACCTATGGAGCTCTGTCCTATAAGGTACACGCACACGCGTACACATATACCCATATATGTTTCTCAGCTCTTGTTCACTAACAGAGCGTAGAAGCATATCCCAGTAGCAATGAGCTTATCTACTGCCCAGAACCAAGGTCTTGGTTTCTATATACCTTTCCCCGCAAAAAGGAACCATGATTTCACGGAGCAATGACTGATGTCTTGTCTAGGGCAGGGAAAGCACAAAATGAGCCCGGAATATCTTGTGCGAGAAAGTAAGAAAGTGCACAAAAACTGATGAGGACATGCCAAAACGACATAGATACCAGCTTGAAGGAGCTCCCGCTGACCAAATTTGAGCATCAAATTAATATTTTGAGCATCAAAATAATGACAGTAATTGAGTATAACACTAAATTTAAAAACAATCCATGAGTTTATTGTAATAAAAATGGAGAGGAGCCTTTCTTTGCAGGAATGTGCCTCAGTTTCCTCATCTGGAAAATGGGATAATTGTACCTAACTCACAGGGTTGTTATGTGGAGTAAATGAGTTAATGTGTGTAGAAGGTCAGTGAAAAACAGGAAGACCCTCAACAAGATGTGTTCAAACATACCTACTATTGTGAGGATGGCACAGGACAGGGCAACGTTTCATCTGTTATACATAAGGTCGCTCTGAGCTGAACCGACTGGAGAGCATGTAACAACGCAACAACGTGGAAACCTCTATGCCCTTCCGCTACACCTCGAGAGGGACTAGGAGCACTGGTTGCGCAGTGGTTAAGCGCTTGGCTGCTAACGGAAAGGTCACTAGCTGGTCTTCGGGAGAAAGCTGTGGCAGTCAACTTTCATATAGATTACAGCCTTGAAACCCTGTGGGGCAGTTCTACTCTGCCCTACAGGGTCGCTGTGAGTCAGAATCGACTCCACGGCAGTGTTCTTTTGTTTGCTTGTTTCAAGAGAACGAGAATAATGCTAGACGACCACAGAGATGTGGAAACCTCCGGGGTTCCTAGAAGGAACGCGGCCAGAACCCCTGGTCTGCGGGAGAGCCGGGCGCTATGACGCACTTCCGGCCTTTGTAGTTTTATCTTTCCCTCGGTTGCGGTTGTCAAGGATTTAGAGGTGGCGCGATCGGGCCAGCTGGCCTGTCATTTCACGGATGCTTCGGTGAGCTTCGGAGTCCAGGCTTCTGAAGGGCCGGGACCTGTCGCCGAATGCCTTCGGAAGGGCGGTGTGTGCTGCGACCCCGGACTGAGTGTGGGGAGAGGGCGGCGGGGACTTCTTGGCCAGGGTTTGGCCAAAACGATGAGAAGAAGGCTGCCCGGAGCCTGGAAGGGCCTTATTTCATAAAAAAAAAAAAAAAAAAAGAAAGCAGACTTTCTCTTCCTCTCCATCCCCTTTCGTCTATTCCTGAGCCCTTCAGCTACTCTGCCCCTGTACTGGTGCCCCTGTGAACTCTCCCCATCCTCATCTTAGGATCCGAATAGATTTGGTATCGAGGAATATTTGTATTTTCCGACGTCTGACTTTCTCAACTGTGGCCTTTTTTAAACGATGAGTAGAGATAGCTGTATAATGTGCCACAGCCTCTCTTAATTTGTACATATAGCTTTTGCCGCCTATGTTGATTTTTTTAAACAAATATTACATAGCACCGTGTGCCAGCCATGTAAATGTTTGTTTAAAAAAAAAAAATCACTACGTGCCAGCCAAGGAGCTCTGGTGGCGTAGTGGTTAAGTGCTATGGGTGCTAACCAAAAGGTTGAGAATTCAAATCCACCAGCAGCTCATGCTTCTTGGAAACCCTATGGGGCAGTTCTGCTCTGTCTATAGGGTCGGTACCTCTTGACAGTACCTAACCACAACAACAATGTGCCAGCCAATCAGTGTTCTAAGCATTTCCCAAATATTAACCTATTGAGGTGATAACTCTATGAGACAGGCACTGTTGCTACTTGTCACTCCCCGCCCCCTTTTTTACACTGAAGAAGAACATGAGGTTAAGTAACTTGCCCAGGATCATACAGCCTGTAATGGGTGTAGTCAGGATTCACGTCCATGCATTTTGGCTCTAGAGTCCATTTTCTTAAAACTTTGCTATGCTGACTCTGCTCTCTGCTTCAGTATTAGTTTTATAGGCACAACCCAGAAAGTTACTTCACTCACTTGAATCAGGTCCTACCCCTCTTTGGATCCCAGTAGTCTGGGCTTCTACTTATCATTTTAAGATTAGAGACGAGTGTATATCTGAAGGAAACCCTGGTGGTGTAGTGGTTAAGTGCTATGGCTGCTAGCCAAAAGGTCGGCAGTTTAAATCCACCATGCACTCCTTGGAAACTTTATGGGGTCACTATGAGTCAGAATCGACTCAGCAACGGTGGGTTTGGTTTTTGGTTTTTGTATATATCTGAAGACATATATGTCTGTCAGAGTGTGTGTGTGTGTATGTGTGTGTGTTTTACAACACGACCTGGCCCTGAGGGAAGGTAGCAACTATTGATTAAGCCATCATTGTACCAAAAAGCATACATAACCTCATTAAAAGGTGATTAACTTGCATGTTCATTATGTGCCAGGTTTTGTGAAAAACCACTTTATATGCATTATCTCATTTACTGTTTTCAACTTTGCAAGGTAGTTACCATCCTCATTTCATTCATGAAGAGATTGAGGCTCAGAAAAATCAATTAAGTAACTTGGCGAAGATCACATTGTTAGAATTTACAGCCAGATCTGCCTGTCTGTGTTCCCTGTTACCTCATACTACCTCCTACTTACATGCATAGGAAAAAATATGGGCCTTTATCAACTCTGTGTGTATATGAATGACTGTATATGCCTAGAAAATGTCTGAAAGCATAGATTCCAATCTTTGACAGTGGCTATTTCTGGTGTAGGACTTGGTGCAGGAATTCTATATTCCTCTATATTTTTTGGATTTTAAAAAAAATTGTGAAAAGTAAAAGCGAAAGATAGATTGTGACTACGGGTAAAAGGTAGAGGTCAGACAGCAGGGGATATAAGAGCTGGAAGGAAGAAGTGGGCAGGCTGGAATAAATGAGGAAGACTTGAGACAGAATGTGAGATTTGAATCAAACTGCACAGGTTGGGTAGGGTTTGAATAAATAAAGAATGTAAGACCAAGGACACAGAGCAGGGATTAAAAAAAGCCTGATTAAAAAATAGTGAGAATAGTCTAACTGGAGCTGAGGGTTTTTGCACGCAGACTAGAGGAACATAAGAGTAGGGCCAGGCAATGGAAGCTAGAGGTCTGACTGGTGTTGAGCCAGACTGGGGAGTTTGGAATTCGCCCAGTAAGCAGTGGGGAGGCATTGATGGTGACAGCAGAGGCGAGAATGGTGGTGGTGGAGGGGTTGAATTATGATTAAAGCACATTTGCATTGTGTACTAGTCTTCACCTACATGTGTATCCTGGGTAAAGAGCATCTCTCCATGAGAATGATGGTAGATTTAGGGGTGTTGGGCTTGCCTTGTCTCAAGGAAAAAACAACTTAAAATGAAGATGTATTTTTTTAAAGGTAGAGAATATTATTATGCTAGTTACATACCCAGCATATACAATGGGGTAGTGATCCTGAATGAGAAATTAATAACTCTGTGCTAGTGACCAGTAGGGCAAGGTTATAAAATCTTAGGGACCCTTTTAGACAAATGGGTTCAAAGAGAACTAGTATGGCCTAGTCTAGAGTGGAGGACCTGGGTATTCAGGTCACCAGATAAAAGCAAAATTGGGAAGGAAAGCAAAAGGGAACTCAGGATATACACAGAAAAGAGAGAAATTATTCTTAGTGAAACTGAGTAAAGATTTGAGACGCCACATACTAGAAAATGGCTGGACTGAGATTTCCTATGGGCAGAGCTCAAAGCATCAGCTGCATTGTCTATGAATAGAAAACCTTTTAACTTGAAATCAAGGGGGTTACCAAATAGGAAAAAGACTCTATTTTTTCCAGGGACCTAGAAGGTTGAAAAAAGAGAGCATGAGTGGCTATTTAATCCTTTGAACCCATGCTAGGTTAATCAAATAATGTGAGAGCATGTATTCTTAATTTACCTGTTTGATATTTGTACCCCGAAACTTTCTCACTCTAGAGCAAACTCAGCTCACCATCGTTTAAATGATCATCATCTCTCCCCTGGATTATTGCCATAGTCTCTTAATTGTCTCCACCTTTCCCCCAAAGTCTGTTTTTTTCACAGCAACCAGAATTACGCTTTTAAAATGTAAGTAAAATTTTGTTTCTCTGCTCAAAACCTCCAATGGATTTCCACGTCTTAGAATGCCCTAAACTGATACTGTCTCATTAATGTAACAAAACCCATTCCCAAATGGGATTATAACCACAGGTATAGAGGTTAGGATTTACAATACATTTTTGGGGGGACACAATTCAATCCATAGCAGTATGCTACATAAAGTAAGTATAAATAGTGTTCTATGAAATTTTTGCTTCAGTTGTTTGTGTGTGTATATCTCACACATGCACAAACTTATACATTCATATACACATAAATATGGGTCACAATATAAAATATTTCTTACTGAGTATCCTGGTCAAAAAAGTTTGAAAGCCTCTTCCCAAGAATGGTGCTTAGCAATCATTAGTTTGCATAATTATTTTTATTTTAGAAAATTGCCTTCATGCTTCTGGAAGGTAACAGCCTTGAAAACCATATGGAGCAATTCTACTCTGCACACGTGGGGTTGCCATGAGTGGGAATTGACCTGAAAACAACAACTCTCCCTGTTCATAAGCTTTAAGTAGTCAAATACTGTCTTAGTTATCTAGTGCTGCTATAACAGAAATAACCACAGTGGATTGACTTTAACAAAGAGAAATTTATTCTCTCACAGTCTAGGAGGCTAGAAGTCTGATTTCAGGGTGCCAGCTCCAGGGGAAGGCTTTCTCTCTCTGTTGGCTCTGGAGGAAAAGTTCTTGTCAATAATCTTGCCCTGGTTTAGGAGTTTTTCAGTGCAGGGACCCCGGGTCCAAAGGATGTGCTCCCCTCTTGGTTCTTCATTCTTGGTGGCATGAGGTCCCTTTGTCTATCTGCTCGCATCTCTCTTTTATATCTCAAAAGAGATTGGCTCAAGATACAGCCTAATTTTGTAGATTGAGTCCTGCCTCATTAACATAACTGCCTCTAATCCTGCCTCATTAACATCATAGAGATACGATTTACAACACATAGGAAAATCACATCAGATGACAAAATGGTGGAAAATCACACAATACTAGGAATCATGGCTTAGCCAAATTGACACACATTTTTAGGGGACACAATTTAATCCAAACAGAGACATTTGTCTTTTTATTGGCAATAGTTTTTATTTTACATACAATTGCCCACGCTCCACCCTCAGGGAACTTCAATGAGGTTGCAAACTTTATCCCTGTTTTGAAGTATTAGAATTAATATTTACTTTATTTTAATGTCTTTGAGGCAAGACCACTCCACCTGACTACTTTGATTCTTTTGCCTTAGTGTTTAGATCACTGGGAAGATTCATTTAATCTTTCAGTAACATTTATAGGAAAAATAACAATAGTGGTAATTTATAATATGTTAGAGTTTACCAAGCTACCAGCTTGTGTTCTTTATCCATGATCTCATTTGATCTTTACATGTATTAACCTAGAAAGATAGGCAGTGTTGTTTTTCGAATTTGTGTTTTACAGATGGAAACCCTGGTGGCATAGTGGTTAAGTGCTATGGCTGCTAACCAAAAGGTCAGCAGTTGGAATCCATCAGGCACTCCTTGGAAACTCTATGGGGCAGCTCAGCTCTGTCCTGTAGGGTCACTATGAGTCGGAATTGACTTGATGGCAACGGGTTTGGTTTTCTGTTTTTTATTTTACAGATGGAGCCCTGGTGGCACAGTGGTTAAGAGCTCGACTGCTAGCCAAAAGTCCACTAGCTGCTCCTTGGAAACCCTGTGGGGCAGTTCTACTCTATCCTATAGGGTTGCTATGAGTCAGAATCAACTCCATGGCAGTGGGTTTGGTTTTTTTGTTTTGTTTTTTGGATTTTACAGATGAGGAGGCTGAGGCTCAAACCATGAAGCCTGAAACTGAAGAGGGAGTACCTGAAAAATCATGTCTCAATCCCAGATCTTCCACATAAGTCCAAACATAGGTCTGTCTCCCCCACACTTCACTTAATTGGAGGGACTCTGCCTGTCCTCCCCAAGTACATTTCTTTCACTCTCATTCTGTCTTTTTAGCTTCTTTACTTTCCTTCCCTCCTCTATTTTTCCCCCCTTTTCTCCTTGATTCTTAGTGTCATCTGTGACTGTTAGGGTCCAAAGTGCCTGTTTTACCTCTATTCAGCTAAAAACTTACTGTAATTCGAGTATCTTGCCATTCAAATGGAAACCCAATATATTAAAGCTGATTAGTTTGAGCTGTTTTATTCAGGATGATCCTTCGGTAAAACTGTTTTCATTGTTGGTTTTTTTTTGTTGTTGTTGTTTTCCATTTTTCTCCCCATAACAATTCAGATATCCTGGATTACTTGTGTCAGTATTTGTTAGTCCTTATTTTTAATCATGCATTCAGTGTTCTCTTTTCATGATACAAAGTGGCGAGTTTGGGTATAAGTACTCTCAGTGCCTGCCTGTTATTAGCTTTTCTGCATTTTTACATTTTCTTTTCTGCACACTATTTCTTAGATCTCAGGACTTCCAGAAGAAAAGATCAAGGGGGACTTACCAGGAGTAGATTCGTTTTTGAACAGTTAGGTCCAAAATGGCCACAGACTTGGCCCTTCAGATTGCAGAGATGCAGGAGGGACTTCTCACAGTGAAGGTAAAGGAGGAAGAAGAGGACCAGATCTGTGGGCAAGAACCTGGCCTGCCAAGAAATAGCCCTCACACCAGAGAGATCTTTCGTAGACGCTTTAGGCAGTTCTGCTATCAGGAAACACCTGGGCCCCGGGATGCTCTTCGAAGACTCCAGGAGCTCTGCCATCAGTGGCTCAGACCGGAGATACACACCAAGGAGCAGATCCTGGAGCTGCTGGTGCTGGAGCAGTTCCTGACCATCCTACCCGAGGAGCTCCAGGCCTGGGTGAGAGAACACCGCCCTGTGAGTGGAGAGGAGGCAGTGACTGTGCTGGAGGATTTGGAGAGAGAGCTGGATGAGCCAGGAGAGCAGGTAGGTAGATGGAAGAACAGTGGTTTGTACTTATAGAAGCAAATAGGAGGTTTTGGTGTAACAAGAAGAGGAGGAGGATTCCTTTATGTCTGACTTGATCTGGTGTAGGCTTTTAATCTCTCTGCCTTTGTTTTTTCTTTGCCAGCTTCTTGGTCCTTCTTTTCCTGTGCGATGACCCTGAGAAGACCTCCTTGCAAGTCCTCTCTGATCTGTGATTCCCAACTATCCTTTATTTCTACCAGGTCCCATTCCATGCTCATGAACAGCAAGAATGTGTGAAGGAGAAGGCAACTCTAGGAGCAGCCCAGGAGTCATCAGGTGCCCAGCTCCAAGCCTTGGAAGAGCAGCTTCGGTGTAACTTGCAAGAGGTGTGCCCAGTTCAGGAAACTGGTGAGGATTAGAATTTCATCAGGAAGCCTACCTCATTCCCTTAATGTTCAGCAATTCAAAACATATTTATTTAGTGTCTACTATAAACAGCCCTGGTGGTGCAGTGATTAAGCACTTGGCTGCTAACTGAAAGGTCGATGGTTCAAACCCACCAGTGGCTCTGTGGGAGAAAAGACCTGGCAATCTGCTTTCATAAAGATTTCAGCCTAGGAAGCCCTTTGAGGCAGTTGTGCTCTGTCGTATAGGCTCACTTTAAGTCAGAATTGACTCTACACCGGGCTTTGAACTGGTTCATCTCAGTTTGAACCCCTGCTGAGAATTTGCATTTCCATCCCAGATATACTGAATCAGAATCCACATTTTAACACAATGTCCAGGTGATTCTTGTATACATATATATGTATATGCATATAAGAATTCTTATGTGTATATATGTATGTAAGAATCACCTGGGGAGCTTATTAAACTGTAGATTCTGAATAAGAATCAGCTGGGGAGTTTGTTAAACTGTAGATTCTGATTCAGTATATCTGGGGTGGAAATGCGAATTCCCAGCAGGGGTTCCAACCGGAATGAACTGGTTTGGAGCCTTGACTCTACAGCACCCAACAGCAACACAACATACCAGGCAGGAATCTCTGGGTGGCGTAAATGATTGAAAGCTCAACTACTAACCAAAAGGTTGGCAGTTTGAACCCACCCATGAGCCCTGGTTATGCAGTGGTTAAAGCTCTTGTCTGCTAACCAGAAGGTCAGCAGTGTAAACCCACCAGCTGCTCCACGGGAGAAAGATGTGGCAGTCTGTGCTTCTGTAAAGATTTACAGCCTTAGAAATCCTATGGGACAGTTCTACTCTGTCCTATAGGGTCGCTGTGAGTTGGAATCAACTTGGTGACAGTGGGTTTAGATTTGGAATGAACCCATCCAAAGACATCTTGGAAGAAAGGCCTGGCAATCTGCTTCTGAAAGGTCACAGTCTTGAAAACCCAATGGAGCAGCTCTACTCTGCAACACATGGTGTCGCCATGAGTTGGAATCGACTTGACAGCAGTTTTTTTTTTTTTATGCCAGGCACTGTGGTAGGTACTGGAGATATAGTGATGAACAAAGCAAAAATGGTTTCTGCCCTCATGGTGTTACAGTCTGATGGGAAAGGCAGACAATTAAACAAGCAGTTTCAATAAAGCATTTCTTCTCCCTGAAACGGAGAGAAGTCCATGTATAATTGTTTTAAAGTGAGGAAAATAAACATAAAAAGTAGTTATTTGTCTCCTTTCACAGGTTACCCTAGCCACTTTTTTTTTTCCCCCCTTTTGTCTTTGGAAAGATAACATGCATGTTACCCATTTACTATTTCAGATGGCAAGGCTGGGACTTGGGATGTGGAGTTAGCCCCAAAGAGGAAGATTTCTAAAGAAATGAAATGTCTTGTGGAAGTACCTGGAAAACTAAATGGTGATATTCCTCAGGTCCCTGAATGTGGAGACAATGGTGACAATGAGGGCAGATTGGAAAGGCAGCGGATAAGCTCTTCAGTGGAGCGACCCTATATCTGTGGTGAATGTGGGAAAAGTTTCACCCAGAATTCCATTCTTATCGAGCACCAGAGAACGCATACGGGGGAGAAGCCCTATGAATGTGATGAGTGTGGGCGGGCCTTCAGCCAGCGGTCAGGCCTGTTTCAGCATCAGAGACTCCACACCGGTGAGAAGCGTTACCAGTGTAGCATTTGTGGCAAAGCTTTCAGCCAGAACGCTGGGCTTTTTCATCACCTCAGAATCCACACCGGGGAAAAACCTTACCAGTGCAATCAGTGCAGCAAGAGTTTTAGTCGACGTTCTGTCCTCATTAAGCATCAGAGAATTCACACTGGAGAAAGACCTTATGAATGCGAAGCATGTGGCAAGAACTTCATTTATCACTGTAACCTCATTCAGCATCGGAAAGTCCATCCTGCAACTGAAGCCAGCTAACTCCTTGGAACAGGTAGGGCAAAATTTCCTGATGTCAGACCATTAGGCAAGGTAGCAGGGATACTGCTGCTTATTTTGTCCCTGAGGGAACAGTAATACTTTAATCATCCAGCGTGAAAAGTTCCAGGGAAAGCCAGTGAAAATGCCCTTACTCTTATAGTGACAAAAACGTAATAATACCTTGAAATGCATCTGTCAAGTTCTCTGTTGGTAGTGACATCAGTAGCTTTGCCATACTGAATATTGTTTCTTGTTTTGACTTTATCATAATTTATACTATAGATGTAGTATCACACACCTGTGCAAGAAGTTTTCTAGGTGCACTTCAGGAAGACTATTCTTTATCCTAGTTTTAAAAAACTTTTTAAAGTGTTAAATTTTTAAAAAAATAGTTTAAAACTGTTTGCAGCCTGAGTACGGAATAACGTCAAAGGCAATTCACTGAGTATTTAAAAATTAATTTAAAAATAATTGTAGTATAATGTATAATATAAATTATCTGACTTCTTTTCATTCTCAGAAGATATGATAATATGCCTTTTAATCTACAAAGGGAGGCAGATAAATCCTCCCATATAAATGTTTCTGCCTCTGGAGTTTTAGTAACTAAGTCTTTAGACAAGGACCGAAGAATTGAAGCAATCGTATGTTATTAGCAACTCAACAACTAGTCACAACAAATATTGTTCATGATTTTAAATTTGTGAAGAGCCAATGAAATTTGGCTAAAAATCTGATATCACTTCAGATCTTTGTTATGAAAATATAACCCTTTTTGCATTTTTCCTGTGACATATAATAAGCTTTTTTGTGTTTTTTTTGTATTTTTTATTTAACCTTTTGTTATGGAAAATTTCAGACATATTTAAATGTAGAGAGAAAAGTACATGATTAATATTCTATTCCATGCTGATTGCTTTTTATAACTTCCATACTTGACAGCATTTTCTTTTGATTGCTTCCAAGGTCATGCATTGCTTTGACTTAGCTCTGGTTGGCTATTTACAAAGCTTTATACTAGGCCCAGGAGACAAAGAAATGGAAAGCCTGTGGAGAGAACAGTCTGGTGTGGAAGACCAAATATACAGTAGATGACTTAAGAATAGTAAAAGAGCTATAAGGAACCTTAGCGATCACTTCTGCGTTCCCTTATTTGATAGATAAGGAAATGGAGGCTCTGGAAAGTAATTGTCCAAAATCACACAACTAGTTAATAGCAGAATCCTGTCTTCTAATTCCCAGTGCAGTGCTCTTTGTACTAAGCCACTGGAAACGTATCACCAGATAGAAATTATAAGTTTATGGAGCTTATAGGATTTATAAGTCATTGAGGTTTTGCTCTGTAGCTTGACAAGTCCTCTCATCTATATGTTTCAGTAAATGCATAGTCCCTATGTTTACTTTGCAATGGAGTTCCAGGAAAGACCCGCCCCCCAACTTATCCCTCATTTGAGGTATTTTATTTATTTTTCTGGTTATTCTTTATTTTTAACTTTTAACATTTAATTTACTTAGAGGGACTTTTTTAAAAAAAAGATAATACATTCTTCACATGGTTTGAAAATCAAAACAATATAAAATAGGTCCCCATGTTTCCCTTATAGGTAGCCATTTTATTAGTTTCTTGTGTATCTTTCAGTGCTTCTTTATGTAAATACAAGAAAATATGAACATATAATCTTATTTCCCCCATGATGCAAAAAGGTAGCATACTGCTTACATTCTTCTACACCTTGCTGTTTTCATGAAACAATATAACCTTTAGAGATTTCATATCATTACAGAGAGCTTTCTTGTTCTTTTTACAAGTAGATAGTATTTCACTTGTCTGTGTACCATAGTTTGTTTAATGGAACTCTGTAGATGAAAAGGAGCTCTTGTGGTTCAGTGGTTAAGAGCTTGGCTGCTAACCGGAAGGTTGGCAGTTTGCATCCGCCACCCGCTCCTTGGAAACTTTATGGGCAGTTCTCCTCTGTCCTATAGGGTCGCTATGACTTGGAATCAACTCGACGGCAATGAGTGTGCAGATAAAAAATCACTGTTTGAAAATGTTATATATTCTGTTTCATTCTTCTCCACAATTTAGTCCAAGTCAAGCTCTATTTAAAAGCTAACAGCTTCCACATAAATTAGGAAACAGAATTTGGGAATTGGAATTACACAACCTTTCTAGTATATATGCGTTGTTTAAAATGATATAATACCTGTATTATAATAATCTGTTAATAAGTGTCTTAAACGCCTCTCTGAAACAGCAAGTTTAGATAATTTGGTTACATCAGCTAAAAAAGATTTAATATGAACAAATCAGGCTTTTACAAGGGTGTATTATAATAGAGTGAGTTTTTGACACCTGCAATTGAAGGTTGGATGTTTGGTTTGGTTTGTGCTTGTTGTTTTATAGGTTCTCAGAAATTCTCATTTTCCTCCACAACTGGTTCTTAGTCATCTAGTGCTGCTACAACAGAAATACCACAAGTGGATGGTTTTAATGAAGAGAAGTTTATTTCCTCACAGTCAAAGTAGGCTAAAAGTCCAAATTCAGGGCATCAGCTCCAGGGGAAG